AACCTTATTTTAATTTTTTAACCCAGTGGTTACAAACAATAGTACCTTATTTAACAAAGTAAAACAAAAAAATGAAAAAAATGCCGAACCCTGAAGTTCTCTCATAATACTTCCTGTTAATGCCCATTAAAGAAACAAGCTCTACTGGATTACATTGAAGTCCAGCATCCTGTTTTCAGAAGTGGTCAGCCAGATGTTTCAACCCACAAGCAGAGTATGAAACCAACAATCTCCTCCTACTGTGCTCCCCCCCCCCCACAATATACAGCTTGTGAAGGTGAAGGTTGAATTTAGTCATTATGGTTAAGAGCTGTGAATTTGTCTCCCATTAGTTTTTCTATTCCCCTTTTATAAATCCATCTAAGGTAGTGTCTGTCACTACATCATGTAGCAATGTAATCATAAACTTACACATTATGTGAAGCACTGCCTGATTTTGTCTGTCCTGACTTTACTGCCTGTCACTGTCCTTGATCAGCTGATGTCATTTAGGCCTAACATTATTGGAGAGGAGAAATTCTCTCTGTCCTTTCTCCATATCATGTTCAGTGTGATAACTTCTGTTGGACCCTTTTTTAGTTCCCTTTGTTTCTAAACTAAAAAAAGAACAAAATGCTTGAGGAACTCATTATCTTTTTATTTGTTTGGGGATCCGTGACAGACGTGTCATAGTACATGTGAACAAGAGTTTAGTGTTTTCTTTTCAGTTATCTTCAGGTACTGTAATGCAGCAGGGCTTTTCATATGCTATTATTGGCTTGTTGTCACAGAGACTAAAAGGAAGAACTCTACATATTGGTGGTAGGAGGCCACATCAGGAGAAAGCCTTGCTCTCATGCCCTGTTGCATGTCAGCTCTCCATTGCAGCTGGGCACCCACTGTATGAGATGGAGTACTGGACTCTATGGACCACTGTTCTCTTCTTATGGTTGTTGTATAAAGTTGAATCCTGTGGATAAGATCCAGGTGTGTGAGGGAGATAGGTGATTCTCATCTATTTCCCACCCAGCGATGGCAACCCTTCAATGCCAGCTTCATATTGCTCCTTAGGGTCCGCTGTCCCCTACGGGCAGTATTTGGGGGGCATTGCAGGCTGCAGCATAAGGGGAGAGGTAGGGAAGTTGCTTCCATGCATAGCATTTTGATGTGATCCAACCCATAGTATTTTCCTAGAATCAGCTAGCCTTTTGTAGTTTGTAGTTTATTATGCGTTGGACAATTAAGTATGCTATTGTATTTGGAACCAGCTTCATACAAGGCAAAATTATCTTTGAAGGGTTTTTATTTTTGCCTTGGAACACTACAACTGGATGTTTTTGACTTCAGAGTTGTTTGTAACTTTCAATTATGTTTCATGTATGCACGAGGATGCGTTACGTATTTTGGCTGATCAGTGATAACTCGGCAGATCAGGCTGCATGATAATGGCTCGCAGCTGCTGGAGCTCACTTCATCTCTTTCTCCATGACGTCAGTACATCACTTTGTAAATGACACATACTTCTTGCCTTCATTAACAACTAAATGATTTTTCACTTCATTTTTTCACACTCTTTAAGATTAATGAATTAATGTATTGGTTATTGTTCAAGAGATTATACTCCCCCTCCCCTTTTGGAGAAAGTTGGCGTTGTGAATCTTATGTTTACATAACAGGGGTCAGTGTACTAAACAGAAAGAGCTCATGGGAACTAATAAAGCCAATCTTTTGTACTTTGCTCCCACCAAATTAAAGAAAACAATGTGCATGTGTACTTGCTCTGCAACAATTTGGAACTGTGGTTCATTGTTAAATAGTCTTGTTTTGTTTTGTTTTTAAGTTCAACAGCTCACTTTTGAATAAAAGAGTTTTGAGGTATTAGTTACAAGACCTGCATTTTTCTCCTCATATGCACAACTAACTTTGCATAGGGTTGTTAGTCTGAGGTCGTTGATTTCAGTAGATGTTATTGGGCTATATGGCTCCGATTTTATGGATAGTTACATGATTCCAGGAGGGCATCGCGGTGAACCCAGTTTAGGGTTACACACACCGTTTTGGCATGCCATGGAGTTGAGCTCTGTGAAAATTGCTCCATGATTATGCTACCAACATTTTCCATCAGTTTTGATTGTGAGATGTTTTTCAATATGATCCACTTGTAACAGAGACATGAGGCTGTCTTTAAGAAGGACCACATTCCTTTAGCATGTATACTAACTGCGGCTGATGCATGCAGAACTGTAAACAGAGTATCTCGGAAATGAGAGCCAGTGAACATATTATGACCTCAATTGCAGTTGGAAAAAGCTGCCTCAGTGTGATGAGATTCTCTGATTGTTGCCATTCTGGCATGAGAATTGCTACACACAGTAGTACTGCTGCTGGGAAGCAGGTGAGAGTAATAAAGAAAACATGCTATAGCAAGGATAAGTCCTCCCATAGAGGCTGTTCTCATCAGTGTCCACACAGTGTCCCGAAAACGTATTTTTTTATTTGGGTAAGAACTTATTTCCAAGTTGGCCGCTTAGTTTCAGAGCCCTGTTGTCCATAAAATGGTCTTAATCTTATTTGAGTAAAGCTATGCCAGTAGCCCTTGAGAATTCCCAAATTAGTGCATTTTGTTGGTTGTACTATGTGAAAATTTATCTGGCTTTTACCCAGAAATCTTTATGCACAGTGATGAGGTGCATTATATGTTGTTGTGCATGAGGATATCCATTTCCAAGCAAACAACTGCACACTCAGTTTTGCCACTGAGAATTACCTGTTGAAAGGAAGAAGGTATCTGAAACCAGTATTCTCCAACAAATGAGCATGTAGCATTTCCCCAGGTGCTGGATACTTTCTTTTGCACTTACAGAATCACTTTAGTGACTGTCGGTATTATATAGTGTCCTCATATATTAGGGGAAAGTAGTTGGACCCTGGGGCCACGGTGGCTCAGAGGTTAAGACACTGAGCTGCAGACCAGAATGTCTGTAGCTCGGCAGTTCGAGACCCTAGTGCTGCGTGATGGAGTGAGCTCCCATCTTTGGCCCCAGCTCCTGGCAACCTAGCAGTTTGAAAGCAAGAAATTGCAAGTAGATAAATAGGTACTGCTTTGGTGGGAAGATAACAGTGTTCCATGCGCCTCGGCGTTTAGTCATGTGACCATGGAAACGTCTTCGGACAGCGCTGGCTCTTTGGCTTGGAAACGGAGATGAGCACCGCCCCCTACAGTCAGATGACTAGCTTTCGAGCAAGGGAAACCTTTACCTAGTTGGACCCTAATTCCACCCCCCTCATTAGCTAAAATTTATTATTCTCAATGTATCCAGTTCTCAACATGGCCAAATCTAATTCCACCTCCTCATTAGCTACAGTTTATTATTCTCAGTGTATCCAGTTCTCAACGTGGCCAAATCTATGAATGCTTGAATCTGGAGCCGCCATGAACATATATTTCTGAGAAAAGCCCTAGTTTTGCAGAAAAATCTAAATTAAAAAAATTCACTAGGCAGTTAACCACCTCAAATAATAGAAGCAGTCCGTGGCTATTACTAGGCAACCACAACAGTATTGCCAGTTGCAATCTTGGTTTCTGTCAGTAAAAGGCAGAGTGAGAGGGCAGGGCCCTTTCTGAGGCTGTTTTGCTCTTTAAGGGGAGGACTCATTGGAACCTGGTAGCAACAAAAAGATGATACCATGTGAATTTCAGACTAGGATCAGAGAGAACCAAGTTCGAATCCCCACTCTGCCATGGAAGCTCATTGGATGACTTGGGCCAGTCATATACACTTAGCCTAAGCTACCTCACCGGGTTGTTGTGGGGATAAAATAGCGTAGAATGTTGTGGTTTATTTTGACTCCCCATTGTGGAGAAATGAAGCAAATAATAAATACAGCTGAAGAGGGGGGCAGATAAAAGGTAGATTGGTTGGTGAGGTGAGAAGTAGAGAAGAAAGCAGGGAAACATGAGGTTATGGGGGTTCCCAGTAGGAAGTCCCCCTGCAAATCCTTGTGGGTTCCCTATCATGCATCTAGGCTCCTTGGACAGCAATCTGCTGGTGATCCCTGGCCTCAAAGACATCCGGCTGTCATTGACCAGGGCCAGGGCCTTCTCAGTCCTGGCCCTAACCTGGTGGAACTCTCTGCCAAACACCATCAGGGCCCTGCTGTGGGACCTTATGCAGTTCTTTAGGACCTGTAAAACAGAGATGTTCCGCCAAGCTTTTGGTTGAGGACAACTATGGTTTCCATCCTGGCTGGCACCCTGCACTTACTCCTCCTACTCTCCTCTCCATCAGACTGCTTTACTCCCCTCCCCATACCCATGAGGTGGTTGCAGTCTGGAACTTGGAAGAAATTGTAATTCTCACCACTCGATATTTTTAGATTACTGTATCAGTATTATTTATGATCTATTTTATGGTTTTAATGTTTTTATTATATGTTGTATATCGTCCAGAGCCCTGCTGTAGCAGGGATTGGGCGATTCATAAGTTGAACAATAAAGAAAATAAATAATATAGTTTTCCTGGGTAGAGGCTGCCAGGGGAAGGAAAGAAGGGAAAGCTGGATATGGGGACAAATAAAGGTGAATTGGCTAGTAGGTGGAAGGGGAATGAGTTTCTCTCCTACAAGTCCTCATAGGTCCCCTGCTTCTCCCCCCCCCCCATAGTATGGAATGGCAGATATGTAACGTGTAGGGTGGAGGTCTATTCATACTATTTATCTGTGTAGTCCTTTAGCATTTCTAATGTGAATGATTCAAAATTCTGAGTAGTTCTCTCTGTGTTTTTGGATATGAAAGTAAAAGATTCTGCTATAGGACTTTAGAAGCCGAGTCACACTTATTTTGAGGAAATGCAGCCAAATATGCACAGAATAACCAAAATACTTTCTGCATTTTCTGCTTCTCAGAAAGTTCCAAATACTGTATTTGAAGCAACCGTACTGAGGTGGTATTTTCAGCATGCAGTGTATGTGTTGAGGTCACTGACATCTCTAATAGGAAATTCATTATTCGTTTTTTTCAGTTGTGACACTGTATGCTACTCTGGGTGGCCCTGCAATAGTACATGGATTGAATGAAACGGAAGTGACAACCATTATTACTAGCAGGGAACTGATGCAAACAAAATTAAAGGTAAGGAATAATCTTGCATGGATGAATTAGGTGCCCGTATACATAGGTTTTGTTTTTAATATTATGAAGGGAAATACTATGTGAATACTGTAGATTATTCCCTCCCCATCTACAGATTTGCTTATACTATAATGTAAGACCAGAGAAATATAAATTCTACTTATAGCTTGTTAGTCTGTTGAATGTGTTAGTGGATAGTTGTCTGACCACAGGCTAGATTTAGTCCTTTCTCCTCATTTCATAGGCACTAAATGTAACTTTAGTTTGTATGATTCTGCAGATATCTATTTGTATGCTTCTGCAGATATGCTGCTTATTTAGATCCCATCTGGGTTTCACCCGGGTCATGTGACGGAGACGGCACTGGTCACCCTCACGGACAACTCAGGAGGCATCTGGATCGAGGCAGATCGGCAGTGCTGTTGTTGTTGGACCTGTCGGCAGCATTCGACACGGTTGACCATCAGCTACTGACCCACCGCCTCGCTGACACTGGAATTCAGGGGCAGGCCTTGCAGTGGCTTGTCTCCTTTCTCCAAGGTCGGGGACCACAGGTGGCACTGGGGGAACAGCTATCCTGGAGGCACCCACTGGACTGTGGTGTGCCTCAAGGGACAGTGCTGTCCCCGATGCTTTTTAATATCTACATGTGCCCCCTTGCCCAGATTGCCCGGAGGCATGGGCTGGGATGTCACCAGTATGCGGATGACACCCAGCTCTATCTGTTATTGGGCAGCCAGTCTGACTCCAAACTGGAAGATCTGGACCGGGCGCTACAAGTTGTGGCTGGTTGGCTTAGACTGAGCCGACTGAAATTGAATCTGACGAAGACGGAGGTCCTGTGCCTGAGCCGGGGTGGCCCGAGGGTAGGGATCTCACTCCCGACCTTAGATGGGGCACCATTGGTGCCAGCACCAGAGGTGAGGAGTCTGGGAGTGCTCCTGGATGCCTCCTTAACTATGGAGGACCAGGTGGCAGCCACTGCCAAATTGGCCTTTTACCATCTTCGGCTGATTAGGCAGTTGGTTCCCTTCCTCGAATGTACTGGCTTGGCAACAGTGATCCATGCGATTGTCAATTTGAGACTGGGCTACTGTAATGCTCTCTACATGTGGCTGCCCTTGTCTCAAATCCAAAAGCTGCAGCTGGTGCAAAATGCCGCGGCCAGGCTCCTGATGGGGCTCTCTATACGGGAGCATGTACAGCCTGTGCTAAAGGCATTGCACTGGCTGCCAGTAGCATACCATATTTGTTTCAAGGTGCTGGTTTTTACCTTTAAAGCCCTTTATGGTCAGGGACCTACATACCTGAGGGACAGCCTTTCCCCACATGTTCCCCAGAGAGCACTGCGATCAGGGACTCAGAATCGACTGGCCCTCCCGGGTCTTAAGGAGGCTAGGCTGTCGACAATCAGGATCAGGGCTTTCTCGGTGGCAGCTCCATTCTGGTGGAAGGAGCTTCCAGAAGAGATCAGGGCCCTGCAGGACCTCTCACAGTTCCGCAGGGCCTGTAAAACGGAGCTCTTCCACCAGGCTTTCGGGAGCCGCCACCACCATCAATAATTAACAACTAACAGTGGAATGAGAGGGGCCCTGGATCCCTGGAATTTCCATCAACAGCCTAAAGGACATCGACCATCTCAAGCCGATTGTGAATTGAGAGCATCGAATAATGGCTGCCACCATCAAATCAATAATGACTACTAGCACTTTATTACGTTAGATGGCTTTAGAATTGTTTGTATTGTAATTTACGTTTTAATGTAACTTATCTGTTTTATGTAAACTGCCCTGAGCCGGCTCTGGCTGGAAGGGTGGGGTAGAAATTCGACAAATATTAGATATTTGTATAACATGAATACTTCTAAAAAGAGTTAAGTATAAGGCCAGTAATTTTTAAAAGGAAGTATGAAATTATGTAGTTTCATACAGAAATTATCCCCAGTCTCCGTTTCCCCCCATAAGAGAGCCATTAAATTGCTGGCTGGATGGTTGCAACAGAGCCAACTGAAACGGAATCCATCAAAGACGGATGTCCTGCACCTGGGCTGTGGGGACTAGAATTGGGTATCAGGCTTCCAAACTTTGACAGGGCCCCATTGGTGCCAACACCAAAGGTAAAGAGCCTAGGGCTGTTCCTGGATGCCTCACTGACTGTGGAGGCCCAGGCCATCACCACTGCCAGGTCTACCTTTTTGCATCTGAGGCAGATCAGGCAGTTGACCCCATACCGCACCCCCCACGACCTGGTTGCGATGACTCATGCAACAGTTACTTCCAGACTGGATTAATGTAATTCTCCTACATGGGGCTGCCCTTGACTCTGCTCTGAGAGTTGCAGCTAGTGCAGAATGCAGCAGTGCGAGTGTTGATGTTGCTGCCCATGCGGGCACACATCCACCCAGTGCTGCGTGACCTGCACTAGCTGCCTATCGAATACTGGATCTGTTTCAAGGTGTTGGTGCTTACCTTTAAAGCCCTATCCCGCCAGGGGCCTGCATATCTTCGAGACTGCCTTTCCCCATATGAGCTCCGTAGAACATTATGTTTTACAAACCAGCATCTCCTGGTAGTTCCTGGCCCTAGGGATGTCCAACTTGCCTCAACGAGGGCCAGGGCCTTCTTGGCCCTGACCCCTACCTGTTGGAATGAGCCACCTAATGAGATCAGGGCTCTGCGGCACCTGTTACAGTTCCACAGAGCCTGTAAGATGGAACTCTTCCACCAGGCCTTTAGTTAAGGCAGTGGGCATTCATTTTGATCTGGCCCCGCCTCCAGTGACTACAGATCCTAGAAGCCTACTGGAGCCACAACATCATTGGAATTAATATTGTCTGTTGAGGCTCATTGTTTGTCTTAATGTTTTAGTGATTTAATGAGTTAAATGGATTTTTGACTATGTTTTATTTGTTTTAATTGTAAATCTGCATTATTTGCAGATCTTTCAAGCAAGAGAAACCTTTACCTTTATGTTTTGGAACCTGCCCTGAGCCTACCATGAGGAAAGGGTGGGCTATAAGTTTAATGAAATAAATAAATAAATAAATAAAAATATGAACATCATAAGTAAAAACCTTGATGCAGTGCACACTCGTGGTATATTAAAAATTAAAAATCTTAATAAAGATTTGACTGTCATTTACTGAAGGATTTTATAGTGGTAGGAAGAACTCTGGTATCTAATGGCAGATGAGATTTGATATTATAGAATATATGAGTAGAAAAGAGCAAGACTCCAGTAGCACCTTAAAGACTAACAAAATTTGTGGCAGGGTATGAGCTTTTGTGAGTCACTGTTCACTTCTTCAGAGACCACAGCATCTGTAGAAGTGAGCGGTGACTCATGAAAGCTCATACCGTGCCACAAATTTAGTTAAGTCTTTAGGGTGCTATTGGAGTCTTGCTCTTTTCCAGTGCTACAGACAGAGTAACACAGCTGCCCATCTTGATCTGTAGAATGTATGAATATTCTTTCTGATAAGAGGGGTTTTGCAGCCATAGTATTTTGAACCACTTGATTTCTGTGAGTTGAGGTGAATGAGTAGGTTGGTTGAGTAAACTCCAGGGAGCAATAGACTTGTCAGATCCGTACTGTGAGAAGGTTGCATATTCTAAGTGTTGTGTTTGATCAGTGTTTGAAAAGTTAAAAAAGCAAGGCAAACTTTCTTAGCCTTGGGCTGTGAACAATTTAAAAACGTGTGTATGTATCCTTCTCCACAGAGTATTGCATCTCAGCTTCCACTACTGCGCCATATTATTACTGTGGATGGCAAACCAACAACATGGTCAGAATTCCCCAAAGGTGTAATTGTTCACACTATGGCATCTGTTCAAGCTATGGGAGCAAAAGCAGAAAATAGTATGTACAGTTCTCTACTTGCTTGATCATCTTTTTGTCCTTCCTATAATATTAGTAGGAGGGGTTTTTTTTGGGGGGGAAGAAAATAGAAAGTGGAAAAGATCAAAGGCATGGTAATTCTGGGAAGCTACTGTATCTCCTGCTTAGAGGGTAGGTGCTGAGTATCTGCTGTTCTGGTATATGTGTGTGGTTCCTTATTACTCCTGATGGTTGTTGTATCTGAAGCTTCAGTGTGCACATAGACTCTCTTACCAAACCAAATGGAAGCTCCCACTTGCATATGTTCCTCCAGTGTGAAACTTTGTGGCTAAAATATGGGAGAGAGAGACAAAGGCAGGAAAATTTTATGGATGTGTTGACTAATTACCCCCCCCCCCCAAGCAGGATTTCCAGAATACATTCTGGCTTGTATACACAATTTGCCTCATCTGCCATGGACGAGATGAGCAAAAATGTCCAAACTAACTGAAAAGATCAGATGCAACACAGAAAGAACTTTCTAACTTGGTCTAAAGCTGGAATAAATTGCAGGATGTTGTGGAGTCTTTATTGATAGGTATCACTTAGGCGGTTGGTTGGTTTAGGTTAGGTGAATTCCGTTCTTGGGGGACCTCTTGAGGTTATTTAAATAATAGGACAATCACTCTTGTAATTTCTTTATTCATCACGATAGTCACTTAAACATGCTTGCAATTTCACTGTATGTGCAGCTGCTTTTACATTTTTCCTGATTTTTTTGTTTAAGTGTCACTCAACAAACAGAAGATGAAACCAGTACCATCAGACACTGCAGTCATTATGTACACAAGTGGTTCTACAGGAATTCCCAAAGGAGTTATGATTTCACATTGTAACCTTATTTCTGGTATAAGTGGAATGGCTGAAAGGATTCCTCATTTGGGGTAAGTATGAAATCTTGCCATGAATGCATGGCCACTGTTTGTTTGTTTTTTTACATTCTTAGAATGATTGAAACAATTCCTATATTAATGGGATCACATGCTCAATTGAATCAAGTTTTTATTCTAGAACTGGAATAAATTAACAAAACACTTATATTAATGCAGACCTAAAATGTTTTTATGTCGTTAGAATTCTGATTTACTGATCTTCTGGTTATTCTATAAAGATCAGCACTCTTAATTGTTTGCAAGACAGATAAATGACCAATTACTTTTCAGGTGGATTTTCAGAAATGATTTGAACTCTAATGTAAAAGTATTTTGTCTAGAGGAACTTGAAAATCTGTTTGAAAACCTCAGCCACATGGGATTGAAGGTCTTTCTCAGGCTTTTAATTTGCCTTAACCAGCACTCTCTGAGGTGACACAAGCTTGGTTCATATTTCAAATGAAACTGCATTTTCTAAGGGAAAAAATGTCGCAGTAGTTTGAAACTTGGTTAAAGGAAAAGTGTGTGTCACCTTAACATTAGTGCAATCAAGCTACTGTACATGACTGCAGGGGGTTTGTTCTGAGGAAGAGAGGTCCTGTTGAAGAGTGTATCCAATCAGATGGTTAACAGGAGCCACTTGGTTTGCAGTTAACAGGAGCCAGCATTATTCATCATCACCAGCCCCCTGCTGCTACATATAAGACTCTATGTCTGTATTGCAAAGGTGCCATAGCATGGTATGATTTGGATCATGATGCCAAAGTTGTAGCAGCAGGGTGGCAACCCTTGGTTAGTGAGGGTATAGTACTTAGAGTTCCAGACTTGTACTATGGAAACCTGGGTTCACATGTGCACTCAGCCACAAAGTTCACTGGGCTGTTCACTCTCTTTGAGCCTTACCAACTACACAAGTTTGTTATGAGGATGAAATGGATGAAGAAAGGCCTGTGTATGCCCTTTAAACTCCTTGGAGGGATAGTGGGATTTTTTTAAAAAAATGGAGGGGGGAATGCAGTAATTAACACAGCACATATAATATTTTTTTCAGAGAGAAAGATATTTACATTGGATACCTGCCTCTTGCTCACGTTCTGGAGTTAAGTGCTGAGCTTGTTTGCTTGGCCCATGGATGCTGTATTGGCTACTCATCACCTCAGACTCTAAGTGATCAGGTAGGTTGGTTGCATACATTAGAGCATACCAGTAAAGGGTTCATATTAAATTTTGCCCAACATATAAATATATACTCCCAGCTCTGTGAAGCCATTGACAACATTGCTCCCCAATGTCCTCTTTGCTCCCGATCTAAGCTAGCTCCATGGTATACCATGGAACTACAGAAGATGAAATGGGAGCTAAGACGACTAGAGCGAGTCTGGAGGTGATCTTGCAACGAAGTGACAAGAACATCTTATGAAATCCAATAAGATGGCAGTGAAGACTGTAAAGAAGAAATTCTATGCGGCCACCATCGCGTTTGCTAGCTCCCGCTCAGCACAATTGTTTAGGGTGATTTTGTCACTAACCTTTCTGTAGGAGAGAGCTCAAACTGTTAGTAGATTGGATATACACTTTGAGGCCTTTGCGAGCTTTTTTGCAGATAAAATCTTGTCATTATTTATTATTTATTTATTTATTTATTTTTCATATTTATATCCCGTCCTCCCCAGGTGGGCTCAGGGTGGCTAACAAGGGCAGGACACAGCCATGCCAGAATAAAAACATATAAAAACATAATAAACATTCAACATTAAAACCACTGTGCTCATTCTGCCAGGATCTTCCTGCCAATATTGATACAGTATGCAAACTGAAGACTCCTTGGCCATTTTCAGGTCTAATATTGGACAGTTTCAATCAGCTCTCTCAGACTGATGTTGACAGAATTCTGGAGGTGGTAAAGCCCACCACCTGCCCCTTGGACCCGTGCCCATCATGGCTGGTGAAATCCAGTAGTGATTGGGTTCGAGCCCCCAGTAGACATTATAAATTTGTCCCTGAGTTCAGGGGTCTACTGGGGAAAACTAAAGGAGGCAGTGGTAAGACAGCTCTCGAAAAAGCCATCTCTGGATCCCTCTGATCCATCCAACTACTGCCCAGTGTCAAATGTATCGTTCCTGGGTGTAAGGTAGTTGAGAGAATGGCAGTAGAGCAACTCCAGACTTTCATGGATGACTCATTGGCCCTAGACCCATTCCAGTCCGGCTTCCGCCCCAGCCATGGGACAGAGACGGCACTGGTCACTCTCACATACGGATTTCTGTAGACAGCTGAATCGAGGTGGGCCAGCACTGCTGTTGTTGCTAGATCTGACAGCAGCATTTGTCACTGTCGACTATGATCTGATGACACACTGCCTCACTGATGCAGGGATTCGTGGGACAGCCTTGAAGTGGCTGATCTCATTTCTCCAAAGTTAGGGACAAAGGGTGGCATATGGGGAGATGACCTCATCGAGGCACCCATTGGTATGTGGTGCTCCTCGGGGGGCTATCCTCTCTCCGGTGGTATTCAACATCTATATGCACCCCCTTGCCCAGCTGGTACGGAGTTTGGGGCTGGGCTGTCTCCAATATGCTGATGACACCCAGCTATATCTGTTGATGAGCAGCTGGCCAGAGACTACTCCAGCTACACCCTGGCTGAGGGATTGGAGGCAGTGGTTGGATGGTTGAAGCAGAGCTGACTGAAACTAAATCCATCGAAGACAGAGGTTCTGTGGCTGAGTCGAGGTGATGCCAACTTCCCCCTTTTGACAGAGTGCCTCTAACACCAGCATAAACCGCCAAGCGCTTAGGGGTGATCCTAGACGCCTCCCTGTCAATGGAGGCATGGGTCGCCAACATAACTAGACTGGCGTTTCTCCATGTATAGTATATATACATACAAATACAGTTTTTAAGTTTGACTCATACTTGTCTAAGTACAAAACATTCTACAATGAAAAACAACAACAATCTCTGTCAGAACAGTGCAAACAATAGAACAAGGGAGAGAGAGAAAAATGTCCAGTGAAACTTTCCAGATCTGTGTAAATAGATCACGAGGTCCTGGATGTGCTGCATCCTAAAAGACATGTCTCTTCACAAGTTAAAAAACCCTGTAAAGCTTCTCCATTATCAGTTCATTCTAATGGGAAGCCACTAGTACTGTTTCAACAGAGATTGTTGTTTTTCATTGTAGAATGTTTTGTACTTAGATAATTAAATGTATACAAGTATGAGTTGAACTTAACAACTGTATTTGTATGTATATATACTGGTGAGTGTTGTTGGTTTCTCCATGTATACTAGGCTAGACAATTGGCTCCCTACCTGATCCGCCAAGACCTAGCCATAGTGATCCACGCAGTGGTCACTTCCAGACTATACTGTAACTTGCTGTACACAGGGCTACCCTTGACGGTGACCCAGAAACTTCAACTTTCAGTGGCGCAGGTCCTTACAGGGACACCGATGGAAGCGCGTATTCAGCATGTGCACCGTCAGCTGCACTGGCTTTCAGTTGAATTCTGGATCAAGTTCAAGGTTATGTCATTGACCTTCAAAGCCCGAAACGGTCTGAGACCAATGTATCTGAGGGACTGCCTCTCCTGGTATGTCCCCCAAAGGGCGCTCTGCTCAGCCGGTAACAACTTGCTGGTGATCCCCAGCCCAAAGGCCATCCGGCTATCCGTGACCAGGGCCAGGGCCTTTTTGGCCCTGGCCCCAATCTGGTGGAAAACTCTATCTGATGAGACCCAGCCCTGCAAGACTTGAAACAATTTCACAGGGCCTGCAAGAGGGAGCTGTTCCACCCAACACATGGTCAAGGATGAACGATGCTTTTCCACCTAGACTGCCCTGAACTGCCCTCTACTGTGCCATCTCCTGAACTGCCCTCTACTGTGCCATCTGGTGAGGAATGAACACTGTGACTGTTGTAACTGTTGTAATTGCTGATTTTAATCTAAATTATATTTAATTGTTCTGTTGATTTTAAATGTTGTGACCTGCCTTGAGCCCTACTATATAGGAAAGGGCGGGCTATAAATCTAATTCAATAAATAAGTAAATATGAAATCAAGTATTTGGATTTAAAACTGTATTTGTTTTTATTTATAGTGGTACTAGTGTTTTGATATTTATGACAAATTATTACCTTAGATATTTTCTTTCTGGTTAAATATGCTGAAACATGAGGTTATGAACATGATTCTTCTGTATCCAGCAAACTGTGAGATTGGTGATGTGGGCTGAATTAAAAGTTACATTACTTTCTTTTAGTCCTCTAAAATAAAGAAAGGAAGTAAAGGTGATGTTTCTACACTGAAGCCAACTCTAATGGCTGCTGTGCCGGTAAGCTCCATTTTTAAATATACATCTTTAAAATATAACAAAAAGAACAATCTTTTGAGAGCAGTTCCCATGTATTGCTTACTTCCTCTGTGGGCTGATGTATATCGACATGTCAGAGGTCAGTCCCCCCCCCCCCCGGAAAATTATTCTAAATTCTTTCAAGAACTTTCTTGATAAATCATTGTGTGGGTGGATGATTTCCCTGAGTTTTAATAATAAAAATATTGATTGTGTTATAATATATTGTCTAAAATATAGCACCTAAATATACTATGCATTTTCTACAGGGATATTGTCAGAGAAATAATTCTGTGGACAAATAGTAAATCAGAAGCAAGCCTCAGTAGTTGAACTAACCTGAACAAACAAATGCATCTTTAGGAAATAATATCGAAAAACAGAGGCATGGTTACATTCTGGTAGTCATTCTAATCCTTAAAGCCAGAGGGTATATTTTTAAAAGACTGCATTTGTGGAAACAGTAGCACATGATGGGAGCAATCCTAAGCAAGGCGACTTAGAAGTAAGCCCCATTGTGTTCAGTGGGGCTTTCTCCCAGGAAAGTGTTCTTTTGGATTGCTGCCCGTGTCAGCTTTCCATCCCAATTTACTTTTCTGCCTTTCGGGATGGCATTTGCTAAAGAGGCAGAGAGGCGAGAGTGGCTTTGTGAAGTTAGATCATTTCAGTGTTTCTCCCCAGCCTTTCAGTGTCTGGCACAAATTTGAATTTAGGGTTTAAGAGGAATAGTGTTTTAGTTTTAAGGAGGTTTTGTTTCTTATAATTAAGTACTTTTTAAAAAGTTATCAGTGCTCTAATTGACCTTGATCCTTTTGGAAACATGAAATCTGATACAACAGTAGTGTGATCTCATAGTCTTACCTAGTAAACCAATTTTATTGTATAGTTATCTTGCTTGGTTGATGGGGGTAATCCATTTCTTTAACCAGGAAATCATGGATCGAATCTACAAAAATGTGATGAATAGAGTTAATGAAATGTCCAGTTTCCAGCGTAATCTGTTTATATTGGCTTACAATTACAAGATGGAACAAATTTCAAAAGGTTGCACGACTCCACTCTGTGACAGGTAAGTAAGTTTTCTTAAGAGGCAAGGGATTTGGAAAGGAGATTGGCTGACTGGGAAGTGGCTAACATGGTGGCAGGTATTGGTGCCAAGGTCAGATTGGGAGGGTTATGATACCCTAGCCTTGATGAATCTTAGCTGGTATGGGTCTAGTCATTGTCTGGATGGAGGCTTCCTGGGAATCCTGTGTACTTCCCAATAGTGGAAGGAAAATATAAATATACTAAATAAATAAATGTTTGGAAAGAAGCTTGTGCTAGCCAGCAGTGGCATAGCAAGTGAGAGCAAGGCAGCCTGTGATTGGTATGGAGGACTATGCCTTCACCCCAAATTTGCTAGATGAAAAGTCTCCATTAAAAGTTACTAATTAGCTGGAATGCAGAGCAAGAGTAACACTCTTGTCTTTCTGAACAACTCTTTATCCCCCCCCCCCATTAGTGCTAAGAAACAGTTTGATTAAAAAAATTGGAAGAGGTTTTGTAATTGGATGGTGCAAGCTATGCAAGGTCTTTGTTTTCCCTTGTTAAGTAAAAACATACTGTGCCTTTTTATCTTGTTAGCCTTATTTTCCGGAAAGTCCGAATGCTGCTTGGTGGGAAAATTCGGGTCTTGTTGTGTGGAGGAGCTCCGCTTTCTGCAACAACACAACGATTTATGAACATCTGCTTTTGCTGCCCTGTGGGACAGGGCTATGGCCTAACAGAATCCTCTGGGGCTGGAACAATAACAGAAAGTTAGTAGAAAGTGTTGAATGGAATGCCAATTAGTGTGCAGTGGGTTGGGGCCTTTGGGATTCATAGTAACTAATATAGTTCCGTATATCCGAAAATGAGGGGTGGTTGAGGGTGGTTGTATTTTTAAATACTGAGACGGAACAGTAAGATTGGTACTACTTGTTCTAAAGAAAGTATTTTGGATTACTGTTCAGTCTGAAACTGTTACTTTTCTGATTCTCTGCAAGGGAACCTCTTGGAGGTAACATAAATTACCTTGTACCTTTTCTGCAGATTACTATGAATTGACCTTTTATGTGGTGGTAATGGCAAGTGATTGCATGAGTCCAATTTTTGAACAAGGTCAAGTGTGAAATAGGGGAAGGAAATACTCAGAAATCATAGCTTCTCTTTTTTATTCATATATGTGTTAAATAATTTCAATTGCAGATGGCAATTTGAATAAAAAATGTGTTTTTAAATCACCCACAAAGCATTCTGGTCAGAATCCTAAGAACTTCACTTTATCTCAAGCTTAGTTTTCCCTCAAACAAGCAGGCCCAGATACTGAATGTCAAACTGCTTTCGAAACTACTATGAATTTTAGTATTCATGGTAGTTTCGAAAGCAGTTTGACATTCAGTTTGTGGCATTTTTTATAGTTGATTTTTGCATTGGTATCCTACATTGCTCACCCCTTTCTGCTATAGCTTACAAAATTAAATAAATTAATATTTTTAAAAATTAAGACTGCATTTAAAATGCCAGACTAGTTCAATTCCTTAAGCTACTGTAGAGCAGTATTGGCTCTTAAGATTTTTAAATGGCAGACAAAGCACTTCATCACCCAAGATTTGCTAGTCTGTTGAATCTAGTCAGGCATCAGCTCACCTCCCTGGAGAAAAAGTTTCAGAGAGCAAGTTTCTCCACAAACTGAGCTCCATTACCCACAGACTCTGCACCTCCACATGTAAGAAAACTACAACAAGCCCCTGATCTTTCTTAACTTCATTGTCTTTCAATTTCAGTTTGGGACTATACAACAGGCAGAGTGGGCGCTCCCTTGGTGTGCTGTGAAATCAAACTAATGAACTGGGAAGAAGGTAGGGAGGTTTTCGTTGTCCATAATAACCTTAATAAATGTGAGAAGACCATTCTCTTCCATTCAGTACAAACTTTAAAAGGGGTGTGTTTGTGTGTGTTTTTAAATAATGAGTTTAACTCTCATCCCAAGACCCTTTTTTCTGCATCATGAGAGGGTTGCCTGTGTTATTTATTATTATTTAATTTATTCACATTCTGCCTTTCTCCCCAGTGGGCACCCAAAGCGGCTTACATCATTCTCCTGTCCTCCATTTTATCCTCACAACAACCCCATGAGGTAAATTAGGCTAAGTGTGTGTGACTGGCCCAAGGTCTCACAGTGAGGTTCTGTGGCACAAGCTGAGATTCAAACCTGGGTCTTCCAGATACTAATCTGACTCTCTTAAGCACAACTGCTGCCTGTGTTCAGATGTACTTTTTAGAAAGCGCTTTTCCTGCTATTACTTCAAATACCAATTCTGAATTTTAAAATCCATTTGCTATGGAAGGAAAATTTGAGGTGGGTAACAGGGAAAAGAGAGATCTGCTGGCCTCCAACTCTGAATGGTGGCTCTCTTTTCTTTGCCAAGCCACAGTGAGGGAATAATATATTCAAAGAACTTATCTCTCAATTATGAAATAGCTTCCTGTGGCTCCTGAAGAGTGTGAAGCAGTTCAGAAGACTTGAAATGTGCAATAGAAATGCTAAATCTTGTTACAGAAATTTTCATAGAAATCATACTGGAGGTTTTTTCCCTCAAGTGAAATTACTAGGGATATATTGGATCCCCTTCTACTGTATTATAACCAGTGTTCCCTCTAAGCTGAGCTACCGTGAGCTTGCTCACCGTTTTTTAGCCTCCAGCTCACAGATTTTTGTCTTAGTTCAGGAAGGAGGGCTCCAGAGCAAACTAATGTATGCAGTAGCCAAATCGCTCCCTCACGACTTTAATGCCAGTCGCTCACAAAGTAGGATTTTTGCTCACAGGACTTCACAGCTTGGAGGGAGCATTGATTGTAACACCTAAATTTTACAGAAGGTTTACTGAAGACAGTTGTCTGCACATACTTTATTTTATTCCTCTTCAATAAATTCATAAGTACTCATGGGTATCGTAAGAATATGTAGTTCTAGGTACTCTGCTGGCATTTTAAAGAGGGAGGTTATTTTACTGTGTTTCTAAGGAGTCTTGGGCCTGATTTGTATGTGAAGCAGAATGAAGTGGCAGAGTACTGAAGTGGTAGGATGGTCTGTATTGCTTCAGAGTGCTGATAAGGGATTGCACTTTTAAAGTTCACCAATGTTAATAATTTCCAATATGCAGAGAACTAGGAAAGCGTGTGAAGGGCCTGGTGGTGCAGGTAGGGTGAACTTTTTTTTGTTTGTAGGGAATTTTTACAATGGGGAGCATTGTGACCCCCACCCTACCTACAGTATGGAGAGGTATAGCCTATTTTGCCACTTCAGGATTTCACTTAATTCTTCTGTATGTGTAGACCAAGCTTCATAGCCTTATTCTAATGTATGTGAGGTAATTACAAGGACGGATACCTTAGAAATAAAGTGAAAAAGTGTGGACCCACAGGGCAAAGAGGAAGGCTTTGTTCCCTTAACCTTCCTCTGTCCAGCCTTCAGCCTCAGGTTGCTTTCTCAGCCATCTCTTTACTTGAACTAGGAAGCATGACAGGGATTTTGGGGACCGAAGGATATGCTTCTTACTCACTTTGACCTCAAACCAAGCCTTGGCATGTAAGCTGTCTGAAGCCAGTCCTTCTGGTCCCACAGCTCTTTGAAAGGAGCTGAGGACAGCCACGGTTGGTTACACTGGCTGGCACCCTTCCCCTCTCCTCCCTCTATATATTTTGTTTAAGTTCATATGCCCTCCCACCGTATAGCCAGGTAGTCCAGAAAGGGAACAGAAAACCGTAAATTGCCATCTGAGATTTTGGTGTAGTGGTTAAGTGCACGGAAGAACCGGGTTTGATTCCCCACTCCTCCACTTGCACCTGGCTGGATGACCTTGGGCAAGCCATAGTTCTGATAAGAGCTGTTCTTGAAAAAGAGCAGTTTCTGTCAAGAGCTCTCTCAGCCCCACCCACCTCACAGGGTGTCTGTCTGTTGTGGGAAGGGGAAGGGAAAGGAGTTTGTAAGCCACTCTGAGACACCTTTGGGTGGTGAAGGGTGGGGTATAAATCCCAATCTCTTCTTCTTCTTCTATTCTGGTTTTATTTCTTATTAACTGTATTGATTTTTAAATTTGTATTTTGTTTTACAACATTATGCCTCTCCTGTACATTGTCCGGAGCCTGGCATAGCTGGGATTGGATGATTAATAAATCGAATAAATAATAATAATAATATTAAAGGAGAAAAGATCACTCCTCTGCCAGAGGACCTAGGGGAAGGATCAGTAGCTAGGGTGGATGATACAAAGCACTGGTTGCTGAACCAAGCCCAAATTCTGTGATCTGTTCATTATCAACAGATACATTGAAACAGCAGCCCTTCAAACTCCAAGTTCAGCCAGCTCAAATAAACCATTAACACACCAATCTTATCAAGAGCTGAGTAGGCTGGAGAGCTGTTCTCTCATTAGGCTATATCAATCTGACCTGTGGAGACCTTTGTGCTCTCTGATGGGCATTCAGCTGTTGGATGTAGGCAGCCAGAAGATAAGGATTCTTGTGCTGTAGGAAGTGAGCTGCATGTGGGTAACTGAATAGGATGCTTTCACTCTTCTTAGCCCCTCTTAAAGCTCCTATTTGTTTAATTTATTTACTCTCCAAGTTGGAAGGGACTACTAGGGTCATCTAGTTCAACCCCCATGCCAATGCAGCAAGTACAGATATAATATCCAAATGGTACTTAAAAACTTCCAACAATGAAAACTCTACCACCTCACAAGGGAGACTGTTCCAGTGTCAACACACTTCACCATCAGGAACATTTCCCTCAAATTTAGATGAAACCTGCTTTGCTGTAGTTTATATGAGTCTGAGGCCTGTTATCCAACATGACTAAAAACCTATATCTCTCCCCCCCCCCTCCTTTGCATGGCATCCCTTTAGGTATTGGAAGGTGGCTATCATATCATCTCACAAGCATCTCTTCTCCAACATAGAGATTCCCAACTCCTTCAAGCTTTTCTCATAGAATATGGTCTCTAAGCTTTGTTGCCCTATGCTGGACTCCTTCCAGTTTACTGACATCCTTCCTAAACTGGTGTCCAAAACTGAACACAGTATGCCAGTTGAGGTCTAACCAAGGCAGTCTACAGGGGCACCAATACCTTACATGACCTTGACACTACTCTTCTGCTAATGCAGCCTAAAATTGTATTAGCCTTTTTTTATTGCTTCACATTGCTGGATTATATTAAGCTTCTGGTCCACTAAACTTCCAAGTCATTTTCATAGGTAGTACTACTCAGACAGGTTTCACCCATCCAGCATTTATATAAATGGTTTTTATTACCCAAGTGCAACACTTTACATTTGTACTTATTAATCTTCATTTTATTTGCTTGGGCTCAATCCTCCATACTGTCCAAGTCCAGCTGCATCTTATTTCTGTTCTTCAAGGTATTAACTACCCCACCGAGTTTAGTATAATCTGCAGACATGCTAAGAACATCCTGAACTTCCTCATCTAAATAATTTATAAAGCTGTTAAACAACACTGAATCCAAAACAGAACCCTGAGGGACAGCAGTTGTCACCTCCCTGCAGGTGTTATCCAAAGAGGCAGTCTCCTAATTAATTGGGGGAAATTAGTTTAAAAGAAGAAAAAGCAAGAGGAGGTAACTGGGATTCTCCACCAATGTTTATGGGGATTTTTCCTGAAGAAAACTCTTGAAATAAACTAGGCCAGCAGGAAAGGTTTTATTAAAGCAGGATAAAACACGTATATAAACACACTGAAAATACATACAAGGTTAGCTAAGAGGAAATCAGGGAGGAGAGGGGAGAAGGCAATTTTGAGCAAGGCTATACTTACCAGTCTAGACAAAAGAGGTCCGCGGAAGCAGCAGCAAAATGACCAGCATTTCATAGAGAAGAGGAGAAGGCCCAAACAGTTCGGGGGTGCATGTATGGGTCCCAGGACTCTCTCTCTCTCTCTCTCTCTCTCACACACACACACACACACACACACACACACACACTGCTATAGAGCAGGATGCCATGCTTTATAGGGCAAAATGCTTCCTGTGGCAAGCTGACATATTGGCCTCCAAACAATAACTTGATGGTTTGTTCAGAGGTGGACAGTTATTTGGGAAATGCTTGATGGGTTTTCCTGAGGTGAACTATAGATGTGAATGGCACTTGATGACCCTGTTAGTACCGGATGGGAAAAGCTACCAGGTTTTGTGAATCATGTTATGTGTTGCTTAATTAGGGTAAATGAGCGAGGGGGAGTAAGGCTGGACATTTGCAGATTAGTCCAAGGTGAGGCAATCTGTCTTGGGAGACCCCTTGTCCTAAATTATGCATCCCTCTAGGGTGGGGAGGAGGTCATTAGCTAGCCAGCCACTCTTGCTCACACACTTCTAAACTACATGTCCAGATTTGTCTCTGGCTGACATCCATTTTGTGTCATTTTGGGCCAGGCAGTGTATTGCATTTATGATATCTGGGATAATATTTTAGGAAGGGTGTTTATGGTTTTCTAGTTATAAACTGCTTCTCGGTGAGAGGAGGGGTCTGACTGCTACGACAGGTTGATGGGGAACCATGAACTATCGCCTTTTGGATACAATCTACCAACGAGGCCTTCATCCACCCAACATTAATTGTCTAGTCCATATCTCACCAATTTCTCAACAAGAACATCATGGGACACCATAACCAAGGGTTTACTGAAATGCAAATAGACCACATCCACAGCGTTCCCCTCATCCACCATACTAGTAACTCTTATTGGGAAAAAGATATCAGATTGGTCTGACACAACTTATTCCTAAGAAAGCTGTGCTGAGATTTAACAATCACACTATATCTCTTGAAATGTTCACAGATCCATTAATAATCTGTTCTAAAATCTTTCCTGGAATTGACAATTGGCTGATAATTTTCTGGATCATCTTTTTTCCCATTCTTAAAAATAAGTTCAATATTAGACTTTTTCTAATCCCCTGGAAGCTCATCCTCCAAGATTTTTCAAAAATTATATAGAGAGGTTCCAATTATTTTATTTATTTATTTATTTATTTATTTTTATCTTTGAATTTATATCCCGTCCTCCCCGAAGGCTCAGGGCGGCTCAGGGCTGCTCACAAGAGGCATAGATGCCAAGTTAAAACAGTACAACAGTATAACAATATAAAATACAATATGTACAATTCAATTAAAAATACAGTGCTCCAAAATTACTTGAATTCAAGATGGGATTCCAGAATTATTCATACCAACACAACAGAACAGCAATATACATCCCAGTAGCACTGCCAGGAACGTGTCACACCCCTGATAATGCTTGCTCAACCAATGGTCAAAGTGCGGAGATAAAGAAGAAGGCGGTGGTGGAATAGTAGTGGCGGCGGCTCCTACTCGAAAGCCTGGCAGAAGAGCTCCATTTTACAGGCCCTGCGGAACTGCACCAGGTCCTGCAGGGCCCAGATCTCCTCTGGGAGCTTGTTCCACCAGGTCGGAGCCGCCACCGAAAACACCCTGGCCCTAGTGGCAGCCAGTTTGATGTTCCTGGGGCCTGGAATATCTAGGAGATTTTGATTCCCCGACCGTAGTGCCCTTGGGGGAACATGCGGGGAGAGGCGATCCCTGAGGTAAGCTGGACCCTGGCCATATAGGGCTTTAAAGGTTAAAACCAGCACTTTGAAGTGAATCTGGGACGCCATTTGCAGCCAGTGCAGCGCTTCAGCACAGGCCGGATGTGATCCCTTCTAGTGAGACCCATCAGCAGCCTGGCTGCAGCATTCCGTACTAGCTGCAGCTTCCGAATTTGCGCCAAAGTCAGCCCCATGTAGAGAGCGTTACAGTAGTCTAGCCTCGAGGTGACCATCGCCTGGATCACTGTGGCCAGGTCATCACGGCTGAGGAAAGGAACCAACTGCTGCACCAGCCGAAGATGGTAAAAGGCCGACTTGGCAGTGGCTGCCACCTGGGCTTCCATCGTTGAGGAGTCCAGGAGCACACCCAAGCTCCTAACCTCCGACGCTGGCACCAAAGGCGCCCTGTCGAAGGTTGGGAGAGGGAACCCCAACCCCGAACCGATCTGACTCAGGCCAAGGACCTCCATCTTTGCCGGGTTTAGTTTCAGCCAACTCAGCCTGAGCCAACTAGCCATGTAACGCCCGATGAAGGTCATCCGAGGTGGAGTCCGACCGGCCGCCCAGCATCAGATAGAGCTGGGTGTCATCTGCATATTGATGACACCCAAGCCCACAACTCCGGGCAATCTGGGTAAGGTGGTGCATGTAGATGTTAAACAACATCAAGGACAGCACCGCCCCCGAGGCACCCCACATTCAAGAGGCCACCTCTGGGAGTGCTGATCCCCTATCGCCACCCATTGTCCCCGACCTTGGAGAAAAGAGGCAAACCATTGAAGGGCAAGCCCCTGAATCCCCACGTCAGCGATGTGGTGGGCTAGCAACTGGTGGTCGACCGTGTCAAACGCGGCCGACAGATCTAACAACAACAGTGCCGCCACACTGTCCTGAGCATAAAAGTGCAATAAAATTATTACATATTTGTCAGTATTTGATATTTGACTATACTGTAGCTGATGGCTGACATCCTCTGAACCAGGTAATAAAGCCCAGCAAGCAAATTTAGACCTCTGAGGTAAAATTGTAACTTCAGGTTTGGCATTTTTGTTGAATTTAGGGTTGTTGTTTTTTTTTAATTTGTTTTCAGCTTTTTCAGCACTGTTTATTTCACTCCAATTTCTTTTGGTATTAGGGCACAATTGTGATGATCTTTTCTGGCCTCTGATGAGCAGTTCTATCTGTGCTCAAATCACTACTCAGGAAATGTTTTCTCCAAAGTATATGTAGAGGCTTATGTCATGCATATACAACAGGAGGTAAACGTCCAGATAATTTAAAAGTTGGCAGCATAGATTAGTCCACAAACATTTGTGCTGGAATAAAAGGTTCTTAATGCCACAAAATTCCTTCTTAATTTTTCTGCAACAGCCAGATACCGCTTCTCCTCTGTGTAAGTAATACGTATGAGTTTCCCAGTTAATAAGAATGAATAATATATGTCTGGAGATCTTTAAGAAAGAAGATATATTATTTCATTTTTTCACTGGTGTGGGTTTTTTCATTACTTTGCAGTTTTAAATAAATTATTTTTTCTGTTATGTTGTGCATAGGAGCTTTGATTAAAAACTCTGTTCCAAGAAACTGAAAGATGATTAATTATATTTAGATACTCATATTTGTACTATTTTAAGCCATTTGGATTATTTCTCCACTCACTGTATAATTGCTTCCCTCTTAAATTATGATACACACTTTAGATTTTCTAGGTAAACAAATATTAATAAGGGAACATGCAAGAAGGCTTGCAGTGTTTGATGAATCTAGCATTGTGGAAGCAAATTATTAAAGTCCAAAGCTAAGTAGTGTTTACTGTTTTGTCTTAGTGATGGAAATTCTGTGAGTCATTGTTAATTAAATAATTGTAGAAAACTTGAGCAATGGCACTAAAAGCCTGAGAGCTGTACAATCCACTGAGTAATGCCAGCTTTAAATGGGGGAGAGCTGAGTTCAAATCTTGTTTAACTAGGATTCTCAGGTCCATAGCAAGCCCCAATCTCTTTGCTGGGAAAAATAATTTCCCTATTGGAAAATGCTACATTTTGTTGTTATGTTATTATATGTGTGAGATGGCCTCATGTGATAAAGTAGGCTACTGTCTACAAACGTTCCTTCCAAAGTGAACCACTTGCTCTCAAAGGCTGCAATCCTAAAAACTCTTTCCTAAGATAAAATGGGACTTAGATTTGAGTATTTATTTATTTATTGGATTTATATCCTACCCTCCCCACGAACGACTTGCTTAGGATGGCTCCTTAATGCATTTGTACTTTGTCTTTTAAGAACTTCTACAGAGTGATCAGAAGTATTAAATGAGAAGCTTCTGCTGTAACCCATCTAAGCCTTTGGTGTTAGGTGGAAAAATATGGATATTACTTCATTCCTAAAGGCATATGTATGCCAATTGGTGTATTTTAATTTTTCTCCAGGTTTACAGTTGGTGTGTTAGATGGGCTTAGAAGGGTATAACTTTGTTTAGGATTGTATTTTGACAGTGCAGTCCTAAGATGAATTATACCCTTTTAAATTCATTGAAGTCAGCGGGGTTAGAAGGGTGCAATTCTATTTGTGCAATGGCTCTGTCAGTCTGCTACCATACCTAACAGAATCAGCCATCTGTACCTGCTGCATATACAGTTCCCAATCAAATATTGGGAAGTATACACATAGTTTCAGCTGCTAGATACAAAGCCGTAGCACTAGGAACTCTTGTGTATCATCTTCTTATGTGTGTACAGAGTTCCTTCAGAGAATGTGTATAGGAACCCCTTGCACATCATTTTCTTATCTGTGTACAGAGTTCAATCATATGCAGAAGAATGCAGAAGAATGCTTCTGCACATGCTCAGTGCATTGGGCAATTGTGACCATAGCAAGTATATATATTTTTATTTACCTATCAGATTTATATCCTGCCTTCTTTCCTTTGTCTCACAGCAATTAACAGTGCAACTACAAGATACAAGGACACAAACCATAAAAGTCTATTAGCAGATAAAGAAAATGCATAAAAAACAGATTTAGAAACTTATAGCTAGACAGTTCACCCTCCTCCAAATGCCCTCTGAGATAGAACTGTCTTGTATGCCTTCCTAAATGTAGCCAATGAAGTTATCCTCTGTATATTCATTGTGGTTAGCCATTCCAGAGGAAAATTTGTATTGCATGCTGTATTTTGGAATGTCCTTTTTCTGTACTTGAACTTCTGTTAACATTTTCACTTTATGAAAATGTTGTAGGTGGATACTTTAACACTGATAAACCATATCCCAGAGGTGAGATTCTTATTGGAGGCCAAAATGTGACAATGGGCTACTACAAAAATGAAGAACGAACCAAAGCTGATTTTATGGTAGATGAGAATGGACAGAGGTGGCTCTACACTGGAGACATTGGGGAATTTCATGCAGATGGGTGTCTAAAAATTATTGGTGAGTTACTAATGTGTTTCTTTTATTAAACATATTTGTTGGGTTAATATCCTTTTTACTGCCATGGATGTGATGGTGTTATAGTTCTTCTATCATTTATTTGAAATAGTTTCATATTTCATACATAGTATAGTTTCTTCTGCTAAATTTTACTTTATCAGTACACTTCACTATTCATTTCTTTCAAAATTTGCTTTTAGAGAAGGTATGTTTTAATCTTCGACGTGGTCTCTGTGCTTCACACCCATGGGATCTAGTGCGCACGCGCTGGATCGATCGGCATTGTAGCAAGCTCTTTTAACGGATTTTTGCGCCCAGACCTCGGGCATGCGCAGGAACCCCACCGCGCATGCCCAGAGGGGAGGGCGCAGACATCCCGCCAGTTCCTTTCTTACCGCCGCATTGGAAAGACCTTTTTCTTCGTCGGTCTGATCGGTTTTCGTGTTTTGGCTTTTTGCCTCACGGCTCTTTGGATTTTTTCCTCAGTTTATTCCTTTACTTCGTTGTTCTTTCAAAAAACTTAAAAAAAATCTTTTTATTTTCTGCTGAGGGGGAGGTTGCTGCTTTACCTCAGTCGGGCCTTCGGGCTACCCCCCCCTTCTTTCTTCTTCGTTTTGGTTTTTATGGAGAAGAAGTGGGGCTTTTTTAATATGTGCAAGGCTTGCAGTAGTAAACTTGCTCCTCCTGACCGTCATACCCTTTGCATACTTCGTCTCGGAGAGTCTCATCGACCCAAATCCTGTCACCACTGTGCTCGCTTTTCAAACCAGACCCAAAAAAACCGAGCTGCGCGCCTTAAAGTGGCCCTGCTAGAATCGGGTCTACATCCTTTCTCAGCGATGGACGCCAAGAAACCATCGACATCAACGGCTCCAGCATCGAGGCCTGCCTCCGATATCGGCCAACCGACACCGAAGCCTCCAGCATTGAAGGCGCAATCCTCCGCTTCCACGCCGGTGAAAAAGAAGTCCAGGCCAAGTAAGGAGCAAAAGTTCGCAAAGAAGGGCTCTTCCAAACCCCTTAAGGCGGCAAAGAAGGGGGAAGTAGCGGTGGCTGCACTGGGTGATGCCCCTAAAGTGCCTTCCGCTCCAATGACTGTATCGATACAGGAGGCCCAAGTCCCTCCACCGATACCGACCATCCATGTCTTGGACTCCCCTGTCCACCAAATGGAGCGTCCTTACTCCGACATCGAAACGGTAGAGCTCCTAAGTCATCAAATGGATGCAGAGCCTTCTCCATCTCCTTCCCCATCGTCGATGGTATTGGAAGCTCACAACATCGATCCACGTTGGCACCGATATGCTTCATGCGACGCAGAGCGTCACCCTCCACGTCTGCACAGTCAATCTGTCGATATCGACAACCGAGATTACGCGGGCTCCTCTCAAAGACATGCTGCCGCTTTGTCTTCAAGATGTCCACAGTCCAGAAGTCGATCCCCGTGAGTCTTCTTACCCCCGCCACCACCTCTGTCTTGGGATTAATAACAGATGAAGTATCTGTGTGGGGCTTATCCACCATCCTTGCCATGGCTGACTCCGGCGAGCTATTCCGATATTCATCCCACTCTGCTCATAGATCAAGATCGCCCTGCAGGTCGAGGCCTTCAGCATCTCTCTCTCGTCCTCCTGCAGATGATCCTGCCCAGCATAACTTGGATCACA